ATTGTCTGCTCGCTAACGTAGAGAGAGTTGGTTTAAAGCAGCCTTTCTCTTGCCGATAATGAGCACCTCCATCAGGTCAAACAAAGGCTCTGGTTGTCCCCATCACGTCGTTGTCGTGCACGTGCACATTATCTCTCAGTCCACGAGATGTCTGATAGATAATGGAGTGTAATTACCTTAAACCATTTTTTTCTGCTGCCTCAGTTCTTTTCCATTGTATTCCACGTCTCCATAGGATAATTCTCATGTGCATCACTCTGAGCTGTGATGAAGCTTGAACGCACATCGTGGTCTGGTTTGGTTAAAAAGGTAACCATTATTGGCACAGGATCTCTCTTTAGGAGGTCTTTCTTCTAAACGATAGACTGAGAAATGAACTGATGTCCTTCATGACACCTTCTTTCAAGCATGTGTTTTAGTCTTGGAAACTAATCCAGGATAAAGATCCATTACGGTCTTGTCATTATAGTGAAAATCACAGTGGAGAGCATTCAAAGTGGCACTCTAATGTTAAAACGCCAAGATTCACGAGAGAATGATTTCAATTAGACATTGAAGTGAATCTTTAGAAATCTGATACTAGAGTTAGATTTCCATTGTTGTGAAAACAAATTACTAACATTTTATGTTATGTATGTAAATGTTTTGACACTAAAAAAACGAAACTGACCTTTAAGGGCATTTTCTGTTTTTGGCTGAGAGACTTTTATCACCGAAACAGCACAGCCGAAACAGGAAGTAAACTGAGGCCAGCGAAAAAAAATTTTGACTAGGCAAAACAGCGTTAGAGATATCTGCAATACATATCCAGCAAGGATGTAAACACTGTCAAGACTCACTTAATAGTCCGGTCCGGTTGTTGTCCGTGATCACGTTCACACTGCAGGTCTAGTTGGTCAATTTACAAGGTAGGGAGTCTTCGACTTAAATCGGAATTCCGTTCCTGCAGCGCAGTGTAACTCGATTTTCACCGTAAGTCGGAACTCATAGAGCACATTAGTACCTGTATCACTCACCTACGCTAACACAAGGTAACATCATAATCTAGGAGATACAAACATCAGAAGAGTCTTTCTTATACTCATGCTATATTGAAGGACAAAAAAAAATCCTCCCCAAAAAAAAAAACAACGCAGAGGAAAGAAAACAAATATAGCGTACGACCGGCAAATAAACAAAGCTGTCTTCTGCGTATAGTGCCACGTGATGACATATTTGCCTGCTCCGCATGCACACCTGTTTGTTTACAGGTTGTTTACAGGTTCATGATATAAAATTTTAATTTTTTTGTAAGATAAGCAGATTTTTATAATATAATATATTTACAAATGGTAGGATGTACTAAAATGTCAGCAGTACCTTTGAGAACCCCTAAGGGGTTGCTGACCTGTTAGAAGAACTCTACTTTAGATTCAACAACAATGGCTGATAAATAATCTTTTATTTATTTATTTTTTGGGGTGGGGGGCTTGTTATCATTTTTGTTTCCAGGTCTGTGACCTCATACTGAATTAAAAAACCTCAGTCCTTCTCCCGTTTCCTCTTCTGTGGTCCCTTCTTTCCTTCATAGCTCCATCCTGTAGGATTTCTCAGCTCATCTGCTGCATGACATCAAGAGGCCAGAAAAGGCTCTCTCACACACACACAACGACTCATACCAACACAGATCCTTCGCCCAAAAGCCACCACAGAAAAGACTAATATCCTTGTTTTTGTCATGCCAATGCCTGCACTGCTTTATTATACCTATTTTTGGCTTCTCTGAACAACACAGAAAATGTGACTGGTCATCTGATGCTGTCGTGACTTGTTATTTGAGTGTGTCAAACAACAGCACTGATGGTTTGGTGTAATTACTATTTTAAACAAAGGCTGCTTTGTTTTCACACCTGGAAAAAAAAAAATATATATATATATATATATATATATGCATACACACCACATACAGTATACACAGCATTTGTGTGTATAGTAAATATGGGATCACTATCTTTGTCAATATGCCAGAATGGAAAGAGCCTTTTGGGGCCAGACACTCAAAAAAAAAAAAAAAAAATTCACATTCATATTTAATGATTTTTTTTAAATTTATATATATATATTTTTTAAAAATGACAAAACTAAAGGCATTTTTGGCCTTCGTCAGCCAACCACCACGAATGATAGAGATATTTTCCCCTGAAATTTACAATCCAGTCATGGTGCAGCATTGGACAGTTTAGTGGTTTGGATTTGGCCCACTGTCCGCCAGTAGATCATAAATACTATATAAAGTGTAGGCTAAGTACTTAATAAAAAGCCTAGTCATGAATGACAAACAGATCTTGTGTACTTCTGGGTGAATTTTAAAAAGGTTAAAGGCTAAAAAGTTAAGAGTATAATAGAAAAGTAGTTGAAAGTCTTTTACTATCAGGCACTAATATGACCAAGTAAGGGAAGAAATAAATCAGTTCAGAAGATTTTTGAGTGACCTTCTTGACCCCTTGTAACCTGTTCTCCAATCTGTTACTTGACATTTAAAAAAAAAAAAGGTTCTGGAGTTCACGTCCCATTTTTTTTTCTTTCTTGATGGTATTCTTTTTATAGATGTCTTTTTGCGTGTGTGGGGATGGGGTGTATTCCTATGGAGGTATATATGCACATTCATGTGTGCGACTTGTAATTAGGCCTCTTCATCGTTCTGGATGACATTTTAACAAAAGCTTCTATATCTGTAACGGTATCAGACTGAAGAGTTGGAGAGCTCACTCACTTTTTCCTCCTTCCGCCTCTTCCGCGAGACTCTCTCTCGCTTTCTCCGCTATCTTTAACATCTCCATCAGCTGTTGTCCTTCATCCTTTTGTGGTGCTTTTCTAACTGTACTTTATCTGTCATCGTCTCTAAAATTATACATCACAAGCCTATAATTGGCAGGAGGAACGGGTCGGAACCAATTCTTTGATTTATTGTATTTTTGTTTTTTTGGATAAAATTACGTTGACGTTCCTGTCATATGACTATGTAGCGCACACACACACACACACACACACACACATGGGGCATGTTCTAAGGACTTTACATAGTTGTCTGTGGTGAGTGAATGTGTATAAGAAGACAGGTAGCCTGAAGCCTCTACTCAGCTCCACAGATTTGAGTCTAATATTTGCCTCACTTAATTTGTAGGTAAAAGAAAGAAAATCGAATTTATTCATTTTTTTTTTTTACATAGTAAAGTTTCAGTGGCATCTTAAATTCCAGGTCGATAATTGCATTGTTTTATCACAGATTTGAATATTTTTTTCATAATCTGATTGAATAAGTGGAAGGACAGGAGTTTTGGAAACGTGTAAGTTTAGTCCAGCTCGCAATTTATTACAGCAGCCTAGTTGCCTTGGCAACTGTCATTTACCTGCAGGTCTGGGGTAAGTTTGATCTCTGTCTCCTTTCAGGTACATAATGTCTTACCTAAGTTTATTTTTATTTATTCCTGAGTATTATTTAATTTGACTTAGTTTCTTGTAGTTTTCCTTACTTTTTTTAACAAGGCACCTGCAAAGGTGCCTTTCTGGGATGGATTTTCCATGTCTTCTTAATTGAAAAAAACAAGTTTAGCCAAGAAATTAAAAAAGAATTGTATTCACCTACTAGGACACACACAGTGTACTCATAAAGTCCCTTTATTGTGGGGTGTGAATGAGTTCTGTGTGTACCTGGAGAAGCTACTTGTGAGAACCAGTATAATAATAATGAAAAGGTCCCGTCTGAGGTAGAGAATAATTTGAGATTTAAGATTTGATTTGTAGTCAGGACTAGAATAAAGGTCAGATCACAGTCAGGCTAATGAATAAAATTGGTTTGTGAAATTAGTATGGTAATGGTTAAGGGTGGAGTCTTCACAAAAACACCTGTGTGTGTGGTGACAGAGTTAGGCTACGTTTGATAATTCTAGTCCTGGTCCTCTAGTCCTTAGCCCACATTCATGTAATTGCGGCCACACCTGAGTGCACAGAGATAATCCCATGACTAAAGCTTTACGGATGAACTTTACTGTCATCACAGAGGAAGTAGTACCTGCAGCATTTACTCTTCTTTCATAAAATACTGTTATTGCACATGGAATACACACAGCCCTTGTGGTTGTATCTCTCCGGTTTCAGTTCTTTCTATGTTAATGTCCAACCAACTACTTTAAAGACTTCATTCTCCTCTGTGTCAAAAACTTTGATGATCTGTTAATATGTATAATTATAATAAATGTCTGTTTAAATTCTTTTCCCTTAACGTCTCAGGTGATCATTTCATCACGCTTATTTACCAAGGGTTTAAGAAAATATCAATACACTGGTATATCACGTTTTATTTTTTTATTAACAATTTATGTGCAAATATTTATGGCTTTGATATATCTTACTTTGCTTTTAATTCTTCCCTAGCGATTACAAATGTAGAACCCTCTGTTCTAATTTTGGTAACCTGATGTTAGGCAGGTAACGTATTGGATGTTTACTATGCTAACAGTTAAACAGGGACACCGTATTTCTACAGATCTAAACTGATTAAAAAAAGACCAAGACTGAGTGTCAATACGAAAAAGTTCACCTTCACTTTGTAACATTTTATTTCATTCCTTTTTGTGAGATGATCACTTCTAAATTTCAGAAGAGCCCTTTATTCTCTGCTCTCTTTTGTTTACACACCTGTAAATATTCCTACCGTCATCTTTTGGGAAGTCAGCATGTGCTGGCGAATAAATACGTGGTGGCTTGAGTAATTGCTGTCATCGTACATGCGAGGACAACACTGCAGCCCTGCTTCATTCACACCCGTCTATGAAAAGGTCCTGATTCATAGTAAATGTTATTTACGGCATTTTACAACTGCTCCTTACATCCGTGTCACGGCAGTCGCTCGAGTGACTCAACTGTTGTGTGTGTGTGTGAAAATGTGTTTTTCAGAAAGGCACATGTGGCCTGGTGACTTGATGTTTCAAACTGGTTATTTTTAAATCTCTCTTCTTCAGATCATATGAACATAGAAGAATATATTGAAGAAGATGAGGAACCACCTCTGCTGCTCAGCCCTCGTCCTTCTCACGGTAAATGTTTCCACACCAAAAGTAACATACGGGTTATGATCAGTGCTTTTTTTTCTGATTTATTTACTCAGTCATTATTGTGTTTCTGTGTGTGTGTTGCAGGTGTTTGGCTGTGGTAGGACTGCACCGGTGCAGTGTCGGTGGGGGGATGGGTGCGCGTGTCATCAGTGTCCTGCAGGAGAGCAGCCGAGCAAGGTGAGACTACAGTAAAAGCACTAAAATTTTTATTTTTTTTTTAACTCCCAAACTAACTGAGCAAAGCTTCAGCTCATGTTTTAATGGTTTTTCTCCTAAACACAGGTTTGAATTATTCACAGTGGGCAGATTTTTTATTATTAAATTCAGACAATACAAATGATGAATAGGTTTTATTAATTTAAAAATAAAGACGCTAAATTTGCAAGTTCCCCTGGGTCCGAAGTTTGAGACCTCTGATACCAAATAATGTAAAAATCCTAACTTGGACAAATGGCAATTTTTTTTGTATTGTGAAAGTTATTGTTTGATTTTTTTGAAAAAAAATGTTTGTCAAGACTTGAGAAGTATTGTGAAAGTTATTGTAAAACGTCAAAAAAAAAATGTTTGTCAAGACTTGAGAATTGACTTTATTTGGTATCCTCTCCAACGCTTTTATCAATCATGCGTTCCGTCTTCCTAGGTTTGTGGCCAAATCCACAGTCCAACAGAGAATGTAGAATGTGGCGCCTGTCCAACCGGAACCTTCTCAGATGCGTTCAGCTCCGAGCTGTGCCGTCCGCATGTCTCCTGCGAGCTCCTGGGTCGAAAGGTCTCCGCCGCAGGCACTACAACGTCGGATGCCACATGTGGCGACTGTCTGTCAGGGTGAGGATTGTCAGACTGTCTGGTTTGTGGGTCCACTGAGGGTTAAGGTTTTTTTTTTGTTCCAGTGAAACTCGTAAACCTTTTTATGTGTATTCTAAATCTGGTCCTTTAATTTCCTTTTTGTTAAAAATAAGCAAACACCCATTTGTGCAAATGTTACACACATTGCCTCTGACAACAGAGAGTGAGACAATGAGTGTGATAAATGCCACAGGCTTCAACCATGATCTGTTTCTTCTACTTAACAATCCTTTTTTCTCTTCTTAAGTTATTTCTTAATTTGTTTGTCTGCTTTGAATTTTCCTTTAGGTTTTATTCCAACACTCCTCAGGAAGTTCCCAACCAAAGCCCATGTTTGAAGCGTAAGTGTGTGTCTGTCTGTTTTTGAAAAAAAAAATTCAATTACATTCTGATAATTCTTCATCAACCTCTCCTTCCTAACAGCCTCTCATGCCAGACCAGTTCGCACGGTCGGTAAAGGTCCCTCTGCTGGTGCAGGTGGTCCGGCCAACGGCACGGTGGTGCAGAGTGCTGAGGAGAAGACAGCCGAGTATGCTGTCTTTGCTTTGGTTCCCATCTTCTGTGTGATGGGCCTGCTGGGCATCCTCATCTGCAACATCCTGAAGAAGAAAGGATATCACTGCACGGCCGAGAAGGAAGCAGCGGACGAAGAGACAGCCTCACCCAAGAAAGAAGGTGAGGGACGTCGGAAATCAAAATTGAATGAGAAAATACTGAAGCTAAATGTATACGTCTTAAATGAAGGTTCATGTTAGCAGTGAACTTTTTTTTTTTTTAATCTAGATTACATTAGACAGAGCAGTCACAACATTTTACGTCAAGCAAATGGAAAAGTTTGTCAGTTTTTGTGACCTATCCCTTTAATCTGTACCATATATTCTCCACAGTAGACAGATCTGGACTGCAGGCAGGCCAGTCTAGCACATATAATTCAACTGTATAAACATTTTCTTTAAACCCACAAATGCACAAATGAATAAAAAAACCCCAACACATTTATTATGTATCTCTCTGAAGGAACACCACCATGACCGTATATATCGCAGCCTAGGTTTTGACCTTTGAACTTGCATGTGTCATCACAAGTCATGCGCGTAGTGTGGTTCTAAGCACTGCACTGTTATTCTTGTAATTTTCCTGTCTAGGGAAGGGTATTAATGCTTTCCCATCAACTCACCCGCTCTAATGACGTGAGACAGAAAGGGACTTGAGCAAACACAGACAGAGCTGCAGTAAAAATGACCGTCAGGAGAGAGGGAGAGAGAGAAAGAGAGAGAGAGAGAGAGAGAGAGAGACACTTTGCCAGACGCTGTGTATTAATGAATGGAAATCTACACAAAAAGCATTAGAGTCAAAACATCGCCGGGACGCCACGCCCGTCCTCTGTGGTCTGTTGCGTAATATGAGTGCTCTTTACGTCTTTTCTTTGTCACAGTGTTGGCTCATATTTTCCTAAAGGACTCATCAGAGATTAAACTTTTTGAACCTTCAACCCAAATTCGTACAATTTAAAATGTATTTCTGAAATAGATGTTTAAAAGTTAAAAAGTCAAACTGACTCAAGGAGTTATACTATTTTACTGTCTTTTTGTATTTGTTATACACCCGATACTACGCACAGTACTCAGCAGGGACGGTACCCAGGTCAGCCTAACTGTAAAAAAAAAAAAAGGTGCCAACTTCCTGGTAGATTTCTATATAAAATATTTGACATCATTATTTGGAAAATCATTTCCATTCATACAAATTCAATATGTGAATCAGTGAAGTGGTTTACCTGAGTAAGTACTGAAACTGTTTTATTCACAAATTTAACATAAATATTACAGATTATGTCCATGTTGAGGTGGTCAGGTATTGGTCAAGGAACTGATGAGGTGGAACGTTTCCTGTTAGAAAAGACTGTCTACAGCAGTGATTGCTCCCCTGTCTGAGCTTTGACCCTATAAACGTGAAGTTTAGACACCGGACCCTCACAGAGTATAGCTTATAATATAATTTTTTTCATCCCCTATATAAATGACCTTGCAATTTTTACTCCCCAGTTTTGTGAATTGCACTTAATATAAACACATTTAAACAATAACAGCAAAAATAAATAAATTAATAGCTATTGTTTCTGTCAAATAAATACATGAAAACCTTGTTTTTTTTTAACATTCAATTATACTCAAACCTCCGGCCCGTGGGCCATTTCCGTTCTGTGAACCCCCAAAATCTAGCCTACAACTAAATGTCAAAATGTCAAACCCAAATAGTAATAATAATTTACAGCTGTTTATTTATACGTTCATTAGTTGTACTCATTTGCACTGTTGTACTGTACAGTATTTATAGGATTTCAAAAAAAGGTTTGTTTTTTCTTTTTGAACTTTGATAACTGATGTGGCCGCCCGAGTAAAATGACAGTGGGACTCATTGGGAGTTCCCGTTACTCTGCAGAGACGGCGAGCGTGTTGTGTGATCGACTGTCACCCTCGTGATGTGCGAGCGTAAACCGATTTAAAAGCTAAGCCGGCTTTTCCGTCAGTCACCCGACTGTACGGAGGCTCAGAGGACAGATTTGTGACACGGTTGTAGGAATGACAACTGCAGGACTTGTTGAGCGTCAGAGTCACAGCTGCTTCCCCGTCAGGAGATCAGACCCTCTGACGGCACGGCCCACCTGTCGGTGTTAGCGAGACACCAGTGTCTCCTGACAACATACAGCGGTAGGAGAAGTTTCAAGATTGAAACTGATTCCAGAGGCAGATAGAGATCAAAAAACACAGATGAAACATTTGGATGACGTTGCATTGAGTTTTCTGACTTTGCGAGGTCAGAGGAGAGCTGCATCCTCTTTCATTTTCTCATTTTTTACCTTTTGTCTGCGTCTCTTTCATTCACTCTTTCAAACACTTTGTTGTGAAATTTAAGATGTTGTGTGATCTACGGGGAAACACTCCCCCCTCCTCCCTTCGTCCTTCCCATCAGATCTTTTTTATCGTTCTCTCTTCTCTCCATTCGTCGGTTCTCTTTCTTCTCTAAAACTTCCCCGTGGTTTCTATCTCAGTGTGAGACGATCCACCCATCTCTCCTTTCCCAGGCACATCAATAATTCACTCAGGTCCTGACCTCCTGCCTTAATGTCTCCTGTTTCTTCCTCCACTTCTCCACTGCTCCCAGTCCTTTCTTTTCTTGTAATTTCTTCTTTTGTCCCATTAATGAGTTGGAGAAAGAGCCAGGCTCTCGCTGTGTTTTGTGCGAAACCTGAAATTTTTTGTATCAGGAAGTGGCTTGAAAAACCTTGTTCTTTCGGTCATCTTATACAAAGCTTATTATCTCACAAAATATATATTTAAAAATCCCAGATATAATAGGATGAGATGAGACAACATTTCTAAATATGAACCAAGAAAATATGTATGTTGCTGGAACAGATAAGACAAAAAACAATATATAATATAAATTGACATGTTCGTTATTTTCACTCTGACAGCCGCTAGAGGGCACTCTAGGCTTGTGTACCCGTATCTGCTACTGCTGTATCACTGAAAATTTACATGTTCGTTATTTTCACACTGACAGCCGCTGGAGGGCACTGGTGCAACTTATACTCAGGAGCAATTTATAGTCCAGAAAATACAGTAATCCCAATGGTGAAATCTAAATTATTGGATTAATTTCACAAATTAACTATAGCAAGTTAAGACATTTTGACAAACAGATAATGTTGTACAAAATTAGCAGAGAAGAAATCAAACCAGGCCAGTGTTAACTAGTGTAAAAGATAGTTAACACTTTTAAAGATAAGCCTCTGTCGGCAGAACTTTAAGGACAATCATATATTTCAGCTACATTTCCAGGACCCTGTAACTCCTGGCCTGGATACAAGGAACTGAAATACTGAGAAGCTAGTTTTGTTTTGTTTTTTTCTCAGAATTCTCAGACCATATATTCATCAATCTATAGTAGGTGAGTGACGTCCGGCCAGACGTGGCTGAATAAGTGACACACTCGGATAGGGACAACTTTATCCTCATCTAGCAACCGCTGCTGTGGAGACAGCGTTGTGTTGTTTAGTTGCTCAACAACAGGACTAACTGTGCGTATGTAAGGAAGACAAAAACACACGCACAAGAGCAGACACACAAACCTATACTGATCTGTAAAACAACATTCTGCTCTTTACTCACATACACAACAGCTATTTCACTCTTAAACACACACACATACACACACACACGCAACCAGTGCCCTCTCTGTCTCTGTTGAATGGAGTAGAATCGCTGACTGGACTATTCCGGACCCCCGCGTCCTCATTGCTCTCCTCTCAGCTGTGTCTCTGTGCTGCTGCTCTATTATGGGCCGATCGTTTTGTTGTCATGGAGCCACATCTATTCTTTGCCGTTCTGTCACCCTCATTGGTCCCACTGGGTACCAGAGGACAATATCACAGCACGGAAGAGCACAGACTGTGTAGACTGTGCTTAGTCTGCAGGTTAGACAATGGAGGCTGACAGAAAGTGACACTGATAAAGCACTCCAGTTCTCATGGTTTCATTCTGTTTATGATCTTTTTTTTTCCATTAGGTAACACTTGTCCCCATCTCTCTGAGGACGTGAATGAAGACACCATCAGTGTCCTGGTTCGTCTCATCACTGAGAAGAAAGGTATGTGTCAAGCACATGCTAGCCGTGAGCTCACCCACCGTCTGAGCCGGCGGTCACTGCTGTGTTATCTGCTGTGGCCGTAGCAGAGGAACACCAGTCCGCAGTAACGTCACAGCAGACGTCACACTCCACTGAGGTCATGTTCTTCTGCAGCCCACAAAGTTTCTCCTTGTCCACATTATGTAGAATTCACCTGATTGACGAATGTGACCTGTAAACTTTTCCCAAATTTTAGATTTAAACAAATTTTATCACCATTTGTTTAAGTGAGTTGGTGCTTGAATGATTCAAAGTTAAGCTGTGCTTGGAGCACCATCTGCTGGAACTTACAGTAATTACTTTAAACTCGGTATTACTAAGGCATGTCATTTCAATAAAATAATACTGCACATAGAATACCAAGGATTATATTTTTTAATTTATGTTTGTCAAACAACCTTTTCTTACACGTTTACTGCTGAAATATTACTACCTATTCATCTGAATCCGTGTTTTTGACACCTTTTCTACTTGTGTGTGTTCAGAAAATGCTGCAGCACTGGAGGAACTGCTGCTAGAGTACGAGAACAAACAGATGGCCATGAGCAAAAGCTCAACAATCAAGTAAGACATCACACACACACATAACTAAATAATTACTCATCTACCTTTTACTGGTTATTACCTTTTAAGGAAAGAGGAGTAGGGTTGCGGGGGGTGACTGCCAAACCCAGCAGTCATCGGGTGAGGCCGAGGTTACGCCCTGCACACTTAGTCAGACCATCACAGGGACACATATGGAGACAAACAGATATTCACACCTACAGTCAATTTAGAGTGAACAATTCCAGTGAAATCCAAAAATGAGCACTTGGAGAAGAACAGGAGGGACTGAAGAAAAGTCATGCTCACTGAGATAGAATAAATGGCCTTGTCATTTATGAAGAATTGCTTGAATTGTACATATTGTGATATTATGGCTGCACATTTCTAAATTTGGCACATGAAAAAACAAAGAACCAAACAAAACATACTACAGCTCTGAATAGCGTAGTAGTTATCACACCTGCTGCATATTCAGAAGGTCTTGGGTTCAATCCCCAGTGGAACCATATATTCATCCCCCCTCATGTAAGTTGCTTTGGGTAAAAAGTGTCTGCAAAATGCATCAGAAAACATTATTGTTATTATTAAACAAAGAAAAATCACACTTCACATGCACAATAACACTCCATACCAGGCATGGGCAAACTAAGGCCCGGGGACCGGACGTGGCCCGTTTAACTTTTTAATCTGGCCCGCCAAACTTTTCCAAATTTAATTTGTTTATATTATCATTATACTTATGCCTTTTCCGTGCAATACCCATGTTTCCCCAATGGATGGTGTAGAAGATGATAAAAGTATTTTAGCCTTTATGTATGACTTTTACATGTCATTCATCTTAGTTCGCATGAACGCTCCATCTATCTGCTCCTGACCCAGCCCCCCTGTTCAATTTTAGGACAATTGTGGGCCGCGGGTCAAAAGGTTTGACCACGCCTGCTCTATACAGAACAAACCCAACTTTTCTTTTGCTATAAGGCTAGAAAACTAACCACATTTTCCACTAAATATTCTAGTAAATAACCAAATCACATCTACAGCTTCTTATACTAGTACAATTACTACGATGTTTAGCAGTTCAATAATAATAATTATTATTATTATAAAGTACCTAAGTCCTGTGTCTTTGACTCTGACTTCATCAGGTGTCTGTTGACTCACTAGGTCTTTTCTGTACTGTACACGGCCCACAGTTATTTGGCTGGTTGTCAAACAACTTAGGGATGTGCCCCCTAGCATGACCAGAGCCTTTGAGTTTCTCAAGTCATGTGTATTTGCTCAACCTGTAAGTGTTTTCTTTTAACAATCCATTTGGGAACACCGTGTTTTTCACCTTTCCACTCTTACCTTTCCACCCTTATTGTTATCATCGCCTTGTTGTGTACTTGCTTTATGACTAATACTATGAACCATCACAAATACCTGTTATATACCTACCATAGGTTCTTATAATTTCAACCTGCTGTGTGCTTTCCATAAGTTGAACATTACTATTAGCATTATCACCATATTATAAGTATTATAATTTATTTTTTGCCACCATTAAAATGTCCCTCATGTGGTGAGCCATGTTCAGAAACGTGGGTTATGGTTTTCAATTTAGTTTAAAATTAAGTTTAATAAGAGATTAAATCAAATTAAATCTCCATATCATTGTACATGTCAGTACAGAGCAACAATAACCAGAAGTGCAAAAAAGAAATTCACACACACGTATATACGTATATGCAAATGTTGTTGCAAAATGCAAATGTTACAAATTGTGTTGTCCATCGTATTATGAATTGCTTTTCAGGTACTTTTCCGTGTCTTCATCGGCTTATGGCATTTCTTTATTTTGTCCCCACTCCTGCAAGGTTTCCTATGCTGTCTCCCTTGGCGTCCTTCCGCTCGCTGCCTAGACTGTGCCCACATCAGTCCCATCTGCACACTATCTCCGGTCTCTCCGGCCTGGCCCCAAGACACGGCTATCGCTGCTCCCGCTGCTCTCATAAGAAGTGGCCCCCTGTCCTTATTCCTCCACTGGACCCCTTCAAAGATCCTCTGAAGCCCTTGCCAACTCTCATCCTGCCCTCCCTGAATACATCCACTGATCAGCAAAAGAGCCCCCTGCTGGACGGAGTGTGTGCTGACACCCACCATACTCAGAGTATTGTGCCAAACATTGTGCAGAGGGCTGAGGTGAAGGAGAAAACGGAGGGAGAAGTAACAGTGTTATCTGTAGGGAGGTGAGTTTGACATATGCAAAAGATCATCCCCCCTAGAAAAGAATGTTGTTGCCTTTTTTGTTATGTAACCTTACAAAAGGGTAAGAATTAAGGCTTTATAGCTGGGCTTTACTGTTGGAATTTATGAAAGAACATTAAGTACGTAACTGAGGTAGAGTGCCTTCAAATTGTGTTTTTTTTTTTTCTAATGATTTTTCACCAAGATCTATAGTCAACAGACAAATGAACCCTTTGGTGTTTCATCAGACACTGCAGTCATTCTCAGATGTTTATTGTTGACATATACGTACTTTTTGGCTGACCCACAGGTTTCAAGTTGCTCAGATTCCTGAGCAGAAGCCCATGACATGTGAAACCAAAACTTCATTCCAGGAGCAGAGAAATTCTCTGTTTGGTGGCAAACTCTTCTCTTCTTCATCTGGAATCAAAAGGTGCGCTCTTTTAATTCACAGTCTTCTCCTCCTGTGGAATGATTAATGTTGTTGAGAATAATGACTTCACTAAAGTTGAACAGTAATGACTAAAATCCAATAACTCTTTAAAGCAAAATTTGGAGTCATATTTTTGCAAATTTTTCTTATGCTTATGTGCGACTACGTACGGTAAGTTGTGATTAATAACACTACAATTTTTAGCTGTTGACAAACTTTCTTTAAATATTATGTATTATATTTCATATTTATATTTTAAATATTACATAATTATTATATATGGGGTTTTTTTTTCAGATGACGAGACATGGAGGCACTGAATGATGACACTAATTTAATTACCTTATCATCTGATGACTGATGGTTGTTGGTATAGGAATTTTTTTGTGTGCAAATGGACAATTGTCAGCATTCAAATGACACCTGAAGGGAGAATTACGGAAAGTAAAGAACAAAAGCAGAACGGAGTTGACCATGCTAACGCCAAGAGAAGTGTTATTGTTATTCTTTTTTTTTCTTCTTATTTTCGTAGAAACTTGACACGGATCAGCTGTCAGTCAACCATTTCAATGACAGGTTGTACAAACAGTTTGCTTTTTTTTGATTACACATACACACGGAAGTTAACACTAGCTTTGTAGAAAACATCTACAGTTCTCACTCACATGGAACTATGGGACTGTAGACATAAGTAGATCATACATTCCATACATAACTTTTTTTTTAGGATTTCTATGTTCAGTATATTTTAATGTAATGTTTTAGGGCTGGTATGAATTAAAGATGACCACACTGTGTCATATTTGTAAGTCATTAATCCCAAAAGGCGTGTGATGAATATGAGAGGAAAATGCTGATTATAGATTATTTGTTATAGAGATTCACTCACCTTTTGACACAACATGACCCTTTGTTTTACCAGAGTATAAAAACACAATTTGTTCCTCATAGTTTCATTGAAATTGAATTAGTAACTGCTGCTAAGTAAATTCTGCTACGACTAAGAGTCTTGCAACTCTTGCAGCTTTAGTTTACACCAACTTTTCATAAAACATGCTGTCGTGAAGAAACACTACTCGGATCAGCCATAACGTTATGACCATCGTTAAAGAGGACTAGAATAAGGACTTGACAATGGCCAAGCTGTGGGAGACTTGACAGCTGGGTCAGAGCATCTCAACTACTAGAAATCTTCTGGTATGTTTTTAGGAAGAAATCTGCATTTAATAGCAAAAAAAAAAAAAAAAAAATGAATGGCAGGTTGCCATAAATTAATAGCTGATGTTTATGGTCTGTGCTGGAAGGACTCATTATTTATTCGGTTAAGTGACTCTTTGTTTTTTAATAAATATTCTTATTTCTGTTAATATAATGTTATTATTGTTATTATTATAAAATGTCTCTGGTGAAAACACGTATAGTGGGTAGGAAACATATTAATTAGTTAATTAATTTTTAAATTTGCATTTGCATACCATTTCAACATTGTGTACACCGTTTCTCTTAAAATAAAGAGCTGAATTTTATTTGGGGTCTTGTTTGCTATTTGTAATTCCTTTTATTTATTGATTTGTTTTGTCACACTTCACCAACGAGCCATTTAAAAATGTTTATTTAACAGTAGTAGTAGTTTTGGTTTGTTTTCTCCTTTTAAACGTGTTGGGACGTGTCATTGTGTAAATTTAGAAATAAAAGCTATTTCGTTAAAGGGAATGATGCAGATAATTTATTCCCAAACCGCGTGCGGCGGCACAGTAGTGTTCCGTGAGACATCGTCAGTTTCAACGTGCATTATTATGCTAGGACACTTTAAAAGTTGAGAAAGAATACTTATAATGCTAAAAACGAAGCTTTTATTTTGAAAATCTAAAGCTAAATGCCCAGATGTGACGCTGAAACACTAAAGCAGAAAACATAAAATGACGATGTTATTCACATTAATGACAGCGTCATTAACAACAACGCATAAAAGTATCAACGACAACAGCGCTCGGATTTTGGTAATTTTATATATCTTCATCACTTCCGGAAGACCGACGCGTTTCCGGTTGTTTTTCTGCGCCTGCAGAAACATGTTATGTTGGTAACTACAGTAAGTCTATTAAGACTACAAAACATACATGGACGCGTCCCAGTCGCTGTTTGCTAATATTCTGTGCAGCTAAATAATATTAATATAAAATTATCAGAAGCTCAGTGTGAATAATTGTTTATGAATGAATTAATATAAAACGCATCAATTTGATTGTATTTGTTCATGGCAAACTTAGCCATGTTGGAAATTCCATTCACAAGAAGTCATACCTGTACATTTTGGGTTACATGACACATGTTTTACTAAACATAACTCAATAAAGTAGACATAAGTTCTTTAAGAATGATAGCATTTCAATATATTGAATGATTATTTTTAATGTTATTATTTTATATCTTTTGGGATCCATATATATGGATATAGGCTGAAGAAACTGTGAACAGTTTACACTTTCTAAGAACCAAAGCAGACCAGTTGCCTTTATCTTAAATTGCTTTAAATGAAATGACTGTTAGCTTTATTATATATATGTCCTCTTCAGACAATACAAAAAGAATCTTCATATAAGTCTTGAAAGTTCATTTACTTCCAGTTCCTAAAATATAGTCTAGAATTCTGTTGTGGAGCGAGAGTCCACATTCACAGTTTTTGTTGATTTTGTAATTGTCTTTTTGATTTCGTTCCGTGTTTCCTGCCCAGACAGGAAATATAGTATAGGGTCCAGACAGCTGTTTGCGCTAGCAAAAGGTCGGGTGACCTTGTAGGCAATGCTGGAGCCCTCCAGCAAACTGCAGCTTATCTGATGAAACACATAAAAAGTAAAAGAGTTACTGTTTGAAATACACAATAAGTAAGTAAAAAAAAAATAGGGTTCGTTTTTACCTGTGCTGGATCGACCTGCCTGAGATATCTGAAGGAGTAGTAAAGGCTCCGGGTCAAGTGGAAAGGTAGGAAGCAGAGCATGAATGTGGCCAGCACAATGATGATCATCTTGACTGATTTCTGCTTGGATCGCCGTCCTGCCAGACATCCCCGCTCCCCTTCTCTCCCCTCTGCCTCCCATGTAGGCTCAAGAAGCTTTCGCATCATGAGGCCGTAGCACACCATCACCACCATGAAGGGTAGGGCAAACATAAGCACGGACACAACGGAGCTGTATACCAGGAAGTCGTCAAAGAGCTCCGGGCTGGTGGTGTCGTAGCATATGTTGCGGCCATATTTGTTACTAAATCATAGAAGATTGAAAGTTATTAAGATAAATCAGGTTGGGTTTTGTACTATATCTCAAAAGTAGTGAACAAAAATACAGTGCTTAAAATATCTTACAACTGACCTTGTTCTAGAGAAGTAGAGTAAAGGAGCTTGGCACAGTAATACAATGGCCCAGACACCCCCGGAAACCAGTCTGGCCCGACGACCACTGACCCAGTGCAGAGAGTGTACTGGATAACAGATACCCACGAAGCGATGCAGACTGATGCAGCACAAGAACAGGATGGAACCTAGTAAAGTCATCAGAACTTATTTTATTTAATATTCTTTACGATGCTGTTCTGAAGTGTCTCTTCTGAAACCTACTGTCTTAAAGTACATGTGTTTCAGATAAATCTATTATGAGATCTAATGAAGCTCTGAATCTGAAAGAAAGAAATTCATCCGTCTTAACAGTCAAGTCTGGCCTGACTGTTGCATAGTCAGTCTGTGTCAAACTCGTAATTTAAGCTGAAGTCTGGCCTGACTGTTGCATAGTCAGACACTGTTGAATAAGGCTAGGTTAAGAATAGAGGTCCAGCCTTCCCGTCCCTGACTGAAACAACTACAGATCCTATACGGAAATGTTAGTGCTTTGTGATCGGGGGGTAGATTTTTCTTAGACCCCATTACGATGTAGACCTGCAGCAGTTTTGAGTCACCTGAGACAATCTTGTTACTTTCACACACTGAAGTTAATCTCAAATTTTACTGTGTGATACTTTATCTCAACAGTGAAATAGCAAATGTAAATGAAGTCTCTGTTGCCTGCAGTTGCCTTTCACTCGTTTGATTCATGTATCGTTCAGGAGTATCATACAGGATTTTTTGGGTGTGCATCGTAAAGCAATCGTACCATATAAGTTGGCGTAAAAAAGGAAGCGTATAATCTTGCACAACGGTTCAGTGAAGGGCCAGTCGTTCTCATCAGCGTAGTAGTAGACAAGGAAAGGCAGGGTGAGGATGTAGAGGGTGTCGCACATCGTCAGGTTGAACATGTAGATGGTGGACGGGGTCCATCGCTTTCTGCGACACATGATCACATACAAGGCGGTGGTGTTCAGCACAAGGCCGACGATGAACACCAGGGAGTAGCTGACAGGGAGGAGGATGTACTTGAACTCTTCATTAAATTTACAGTAGAAGGCACTGTGGTTCAAAGAGGTGTTGTCAAACGTAACCATTGTGGTTGTGGAAAGCCCTGAAGTAAAGAAAAAAGACCAAACCAAGATTTTGAGGCTTTGGCGCTATTGATATTGATCATTATGCTAAAGGTTGCTACACTATTACAGCATTTTTAGTGCATGCAGTTTAAGTTATTTAAAACTAACCTAAATGACAATATTTGTTTAGACCAGGCATGGGCAAACTAAGGCCCTGGGTCCGGATGCAGCCTGTTCATCTTATTTAATCCGCCCTCTAAACTTTTCCAAATTATATAATGTATTTATATTATCATTACTCGTTTCCCTTTTCCTTGCAATTCCCATGTTTCCCTAATAGATGGCGTAGAAAATGATAAAATAATTTTAGCATTTTAGCCTTTATGCATGACTTTTACATGTTATTTATCGTAGTTCACACCAATACTAGGACAATTGTGGCATGTGAGTCAAAAAGTTTGCCCATGCCTGGTTTCGATTAAGAATAGGACACAAAAGTAAATAATTATGACACTGAATGATTGGCAGTCATAAATAACCCAGTTATTTCAGTCTCAAACATCTTAACATATAAACACTAGAATCATATAACAACAACATACTTTTGCTCATGAAAAGGTCTACCAGCTAATACGTCTGACAGAGAATAGATTTTAACTCACGTATGACTCTACTGTGACCCCATTCAGACCTTTTCTTATAATTCACACTTGGAATGCACACGGCATTTTGCTCCTCCTCATTTTCCTGTCGTCAATACAGAACTATGAAATACATGACATGATCTTACACGAAAATCTTTGCATACAAAGTACTACTTGCTTGTAGCTCACCTTACAGGTGATTTGGTCTTTGCCTCTCTCTTCGCCTGTCTCCTTTATGACAGTTTAAAAAAATGCTTCAAACATGCTATGTTATCACTACTTAGCCTCCACTTTCTCTTCTCCTCCACAACATCTGGCAGTGGTTTTCCACACCTACCTTTCTGCCATACCACAATCATCACTGCTGACTATTCAGCAAAAGAGATCCAACATATACATGTAAAAACACCTTTTGAATTAAGATTTTTAAAAGTACTCACTCAGAGACTGCACTGGGCAAACTTGTCTGAGGTAAATCGTTGTGGACAAGGCTATAACAAACAGCATAAGAGCGTATATGTTTGACTACCTCCATTTGTCTAAATGTTTTAAAAGCACTCACTTGTGGGTGTGTTCAGGTTGGACAAGCAGGAGCCTGTTTGTGGAAGGTAAGTGAGGAGTTGGTCTGAGGCAGAAATTTGAATTCAAGTCACTTTAAAAAACATCAAAACAAACAAACAATCAAAGAAACAAAACAGCAAGCAATTTGAGGATTAGTGAGTAAAAGAAAATCCTGACACAGTTGGAGATTTTGAAGTGAAGCCATTGTTAAAAAAAAGAAATTTAATGTTTAAGTATGAACATATCAAAACATAAATGATAACGTACCTCCTCGTAGTCGAATAAAATATTCTTTTCTTTTCAAACCCAATCCTGAATGCATAAGAAATCAGGAAAACATAGCAGCTATGCCTTACACAATGTTGATACTGAACCAACAATGACTTCCAGCCATTTTCCTCTGGTCCACTGACTAAATAAAAGGTGAGTAGGTGTTAGGATGTGTGTCAGGTCCGGGAGTGGAGAAACGTTTCAGGTGCTGCTTGTTGTTTTAAGGTGTCTGACTGAGAGAAAGGGTGAAAAAAAGGTGCTTAATGTCTTACCTGCTCCAGAATGTCTGTATTAATCATTACACGTTTCCTAACCTTCACCTTGATGGAAGCACACAGGACACATTAGGCCACATATTTATTTCCCTTTAAGTTAGTCATACTGATAATAACACATCAGTTCTTCTAAACGTATAAATCACACTTTAATTAAATCCTTTATGTTTTTTTTATGTTGTTTCATTTTTAGCCCACCTGAACCATTTATTTATTTACAACTAGTTTACAGTATAGTTTTGGGACCCATACTATGCATGTTTTGCTATGATAAGTTTGTTTCAACACAAAAAATAGTTATTTTGTCCCCAAAGTATGTCTGTGTTCATGATAAAAAAAGAATAAACCTTTGATGAGCTACAATTATCATATTAGTATACATGAAATATATACAAGAATTATTGTAGAATTGTTATTATTAGTCATTTATTAATATTATTTTGTCTTAACCTCAAAACATAATAATAATAATATGAATAATACATTTTATTTCATAGGCGCCTTTCTGTCACCCAAGGACACCTTACAATGTATAAAAATAGGCAGCAAATAAAACAATACAACATTAAAACAATAAAAAAATAACATGTCACAACACAATACACAATTACAATATCTGAATCTGAGAGCTCAATAAATTATATTACGGCATAAGAAAATATTCAGTTATATGAGAGCATTTGGATTTGTAGAAGTCTATTTTCTCCTTTAAAAAACAAACAAAAAACCTCTACTGGTTTATATTCTTTGTTTTTCGGCTCTTGCTCGTGGATCGATTGTTCATCGATCGACTGCAGATTCTGGGTTTCTTGTTGCTATGCAGGTCTGCGGGACGCAGCTCAATGACGCCATCTTCTGTCGCAAAGACATTGGTATAATATTCTCTGGTAATAGAAAACTATCCAAATTAACTGTTCGTATGTTCGAAAGAAAGTAAAAGTTGAGATAAACGAGAGAACAATTACGATACTGTATTAGGATACTTAACGTGACATGTTTCACCTTGAAATAGTTATTTGAGGAAAACACAGGTGTAAACAACCCACTTGATGCGGTCAAGTTCCATTCGCTTTCCAGAAGAATTACTGGCTCAATGTCAGCTCTGTTACGTTTTCGTTCGGAGTTAGGAAGCAGGTAGGACAAGTGCAGTACTCGAGAGGCTTTTTTTTAAAAGTTGCAGACAGTTTATTTATCGTTCAAAATTCAAAAAGTGTCCACTGACTGGATTAACGGGCCAGACAGGAACAATCAGGATCACAAAAATCTCTAGACACGTAGCATGGAAAAGAACAAAGCACAACATGACATGAACGACGTATACTGAACAATGAAGTTTGACGCTAGCTTGATGAAAAGTGGTCTCGTTTATGTGAATCCACCTCCCATCTAATAACAGTAAGTCTTTTTCTGAAATGTATTTTTGAACTTGCCTTGTTTATTTGACGTTGGTACAAGTCTTAAAATTGTACAAAAAATACAGTAGTTCGCTAAGACTGGCAGAAAACAAAGAAAACATTGTAAATGTTTTGAATGACACACTTTGGATTGTTGTACAAAAATACAAAAATGTAAAACTGATGCAAAGACCCCAAAAAACTAACATTTAAAGAGGTGTACACTGAGTGTAAAAAATGCTATAGCTATAACTCAAAATAGTATCTTTCTATTTGAAAATGTATTTCTATTTGGATTTGTTTTAAGGATATACATTTCAATGTATAGTCGTAGTAGAAAGGGAAACAAGAGTCCTTTTTGGTGTTTATGGGCAACCGTAGTTATTTAGGGCTTAATATGATTACCTTTCATGATAAAGTCTGCCATTCTGGGTGCAATCCTCCACTAAATCAACTGGAATCAATCACCCCACATCACCAGACTATATTCTACTGAACTTAAATTCATGAGCCGACACACCTGGCCAAAATTTCTATATTCTTATAAGCAATATTGTATTGTATGTATATATGTATATATGTGTATATATATCTATATATATATATACTAAACATATTTATGAAACTATATGAAACTATAGACACACAAAATATACAGTATGTATGAATATCTATATATATTTACATATATTTTAACATTTTACAGTTATGTATTTTGTGCACAGTAATATTATATGTATTATTCTTCTGTCATGTCTCACGTTCAGCTGTACAACTTCTACCTCAGGGTGCAAATAATCTAAAATTCATAAGGGAAATGGGAATTGTAAATATCTTGAATACGTCTTAAGTTTAAAATGTGGTCATTTTGCTTTAGATTCTAAGTTGCTAACCATGTTGCGCTTGTCTAAGGTCAAGTCATGCCTGGGTGCCGTTTCCGTCATCACCGGATGATGGCGGCATTGTGCTTCGCTGCTGAGGGGGATCCCCTTTAACACCCCCGCCCCCTTCCTCGACGTCTCCTCATCTCCTCTCCCCTCCGCTTTTCTCTACGCCGCCTGCTTCTCTACACAACACACAGTACAGTAGGCAGCAACAGCAGCACAATCGTACTCAGCCCCTGCTCCAGCGTCTGCTCTTGGTATAAACCAGCCATTTATCATCAATCATGGCCGCCGGAGTACAAATCTAACTCCCGTCTTCCCTCCCTGTCTGTCGTCGGGAGGGGAGGATTTTTGGTTGTGTTCGTTTGAGGAAGCATAAAAATACCAGAACCACACTTATTTGCTCTTTCCGCTCTTGGAATTACGATACATCAGCAAAGGGGGAAATTCCATTCATGTCAATACTCCAAAATGCAGCCGCCGCCGAGGAAGGTGAGTGCTTTTTCTCTTAGATTCCGTTATGTTGAGGCTGCGTGTTGTGCTGTTCTGTCTGTCTGTGAGCAGACAGTGACAGCGTGGATAGTAACAGTGTTTTCTCTACCAACCACACACTAAACGCCTGATGCTCAGGGGCTGCAGTAAATTACATTTAGGATGCAGACACTTGCTAACCAGCTTTAGCAGCGACGGCTAGCCCTGGTAGTCAGTCACCCGGTGACATCAACATGCATCAGTCTGACAACGTCAACAACCTCAGCTTGGTAACGCCAGGTTGACCAAGGATCGATTTGTTTCATGCAATATGCAAAAAGACAAACAAACAAAAAAAAGCACACTTGTAAATATAAAAGTGTAGTCATCATGCACTTGTGTGTGGGAAATAAAACTGTAAATGTAAATAAATAAACATGTAAATAATATACAAACTGAAACAATGCAGTCGACATTAGTTATTGTGGATCATGCCCCTCATGATCATGTATTTATGGCGATTGGATGCTAAAATTAAGGTCTCTCCGTGCTACAGTTTTTGCTTCCTGTGAGATGCAAAGACCTTCAAACCATCAGTCCATGTGTCGTCACATCACAAGTCTGAACTGACACAAGCCAATCACAGAAACACACACAACAATAAACAGAATTCTCAAGTCCATCCTTGAGAAAAGCAATGTCCTTAAGTGACAACTTTAACTAACCAGTGTCCTAACTTAAAGTTATCCTAATACATACAAATGCATCTTTTAACTAAGGCTTTGATTCTTATCGAGGGTCTGTCCACCTTGCCAAGGTCAGTGTTTGTACCAGAAAAGATTCTAAGGAAGACAAGCAACATACTTGTCATCTTCAAGTAGCATGGGCTGTGTTGAAATAATGCATTACTTAGAATTTTAACCTTGACCATTACCCATTAGTGCCTAATCCTAAACTCTATTCTGAACCCTTATTGTAATCCCAATTTTCCAACTTTACCTTTAACCCCCTAAAGCCTGGTATTGTTAGTGAGGACCTACAAAAAATGTGGAAACAGGTCCTCACATCTTACTGTACACATGAACACGCTCAACAAACAGTGTGTCAGTGTTTGTGTCTAATAGTAACTTCTGTATGTGCTTAGCGAAGTCAAAGTTTCCAATGAGGCTTTGTGTATTCCTTGTAAAGCTGTACTTGTCAGCACATATATATATATTTGAGGTTCAAGATGTATCTTGTAGTTATGATTAGATTACAGTTGCGCTAAGGTTCAAGATAAGACATATTTGTGATAGTCAAGGTTAAGTTAAGGAAGTGCAAGGCTAGGCTGGATAATGCATTACGTCAATGCGAAGTGCTCATAACATACAAAAACGTGTGTGTGTGTGTTTTTCTGTGTGCATTTGTCTGTTGCCCTGGAATTGATGCATGCAGGCCAATTACCCAGCTATGGACTGGTGCAGAGTTTTTTCTTAATTGCCACATATCCCCTCAGCACCACTTAAGATCTGTTCTTGGCTGTGAACATGTCAGGCCATGTCCTGAAACACATACCCAGATTTTGATCAGGTTCTTTCATCATTAAAGGCTGTTGATGCCTCCACCGTATGTGATCAAGTGTACTGTGAAGGGTGTATTCATCCGTGAGTTCTTGTTTGTCAGCTGTCTGTGTCTTTTCCGTTCGGCAGAAAGACTGATGTTTTTTTCCGCTGCTTTTGTGGTTGAGACATGGACTGCAACCTGGCTATGAGTCTAAACTTGAATCATTGATAATAATACATTTTCCAATGTGCATGACATAGAGCTTGTTAAAAAAGGTTCTGTGATGTGGCTCTCAACCAGAATATTGCAGTAACCAACAATATTTTCATTTGGACTTGAATGATTGGTTAACTTGCTTATGTGTCAATAGTGTGAGTGATTTTAGACCAGGATTGTCTATGGATCAAATTGTATGTTTTGTTTGGGTTGGTTTATTATAAGACTGCACTCTTTACATCAGCTGTTTGCTTGGCTAGTATTGTAAAGTGCAGTAAATCTAATTATAAGACTGCACTCTCTGACCTACCAAACCACAAAGACAATGTCAGAAATTTACATCAGCTGTTTGCTTGGGCTAGTATTGTAAAGTGCAGTAAATCTGAACATATGTAAATAAACCTGCAACTTTCAACTACTCCATGTCTGCCAACAAACCGTTCTGGCATTGTCATCCTTTACCTCTCAATTGCATTTGCATTGTTGGGTATATGATTTTCTATTCCAAAAGCACTTGGCTCTTCTTCTCTTTGTTCCGCACCAGGTTTTGGACATTTTTTTGTCAGCACCATATTTAGACTGAGCTTTTTTCCCACCTTCCTGAGGCAGACAATCCCAGAATATAAGGTCTGGTCCAATTAGACAAAACGACTCTGATTTGAAAATGCTTGAAATGACTGCTTACCCGTGAAATCTCTGGTGTGACATACTTATACCAGCCAGATCACCAAACACCAAACTTCTTTCTCACCAGAAAGACAAGATTTCCTTTTCTTTTGGTTCTTCCCTTGTAGGTTCAGCACCACAGATCTTTTGATTCCATTTCACCTTATCTTCTGCCTTCTCAACTGTCTCACAAACCAAATTCATGTCCACCTCTACTTTGTCGTCTCTGTGATCTTCCCTGACTATATTGTTTAACATTGTTTAAACAATATAGTCAATAATGTAATGTGTTTATTGCCAATGTTCACATTGCTACGACGATAAAAATATGCTCAATCGCGTGCAGGCCTATGAGATTGTATATTAGAGAAGTAGTGACTTAAGTCAAAGCTGATAATTGAAGGTGCTCTTCGTGGCCTTGCGATGTTGATAAATACAATTACGTATTCCCCAAAGGAGTCTGCATGATATTAACAAAATTAATTAACTGACATTGCACCAAAAGATTGACAAACATACCCTTTGGGAAACATCCTGCAGAGTAATCATTAGCTATCACTACACCAGGTGCAGTTATTAGTGACTATAAGTGACATTTCACTGTTTAATTAAGTTGATTTTGTCAAATCCCTCCGACTGTCATCGTTCGACAGCCACTGGCTGCTTTCAGTTTACAGTATAACCCTCTCCTTTCCACCCCATTGCTGTCACTTATTTTTGAACTTTTTTCACTCCCCCTTTGTCCCTGTCTCATTCTCCCTGTTTTTCCTCCTCTTCTCTAGCTCCCTCTCTGCATTCCTCTTTGAGGGATTGAAGGTGAAATTATGTGCAGTCATTTTATCCTGGTAAAGTAATGAACCACTCCCTCTTTATCTGTGCAGACACAGTACATTAACGGAAGCAGCTTGCCGAACACTGTGTCGGTATATGTGCATGTTGTTTTTTTCCGCTATGAGTGCTTGATTGTTTTGTTTCAACAGAACAATCATGAATTTTCCCACTGTTACTTTGGAAAACAGCTGATGCAATTCGCCCGACAATACACAATGACCTTCACAGTGTGTCACGGTGTGTGTATTGGCAGGAGGTTTGTGTGTGTAAAGTGTGTTGGTTTAGAGTGAGTTCAGTTTCTGTAAAAATGGGTGAGAATATTTTCTCGCCCAGTTCAGATGAGGTGTGCTTTTAACTAAGCCTATTAAATCGACTACTGGGTGCAGAACGACTGGAAAGGATGTGCAGCAAAGCAAATTGATTACAATTTCAAAATGTATTTTATTTGTGCTGCAAAAGGTAAATTGTGCTCATTTGAAATCCATGTCAAGAAAAAAAAAAGAACTATAACATCAACTTGTTTAAACCAATCAGGTTGTAAGAAGCAAAGATGCAGGACGTGCATCACAGTGTCATGCCCATCACCAGTTGGCTAATGAAAACCAACCAAGTGGAGCCAAATCACTTGAAAGTTCAGAAAGTTTAGAAAACAACATCGCGTTTATTAGGAGAGCTGAAGAAGCTTCTTGGATGAGAGGTGACTTTATTAGGAGAGCTGACGTAATATTAATTAAAGAAGGCCTGATTTCTTTACACACTCAACAACTTGTCCTCTTCTGGCAACTCTACTTAACTTTATTAAGTAAATGGAGGATGGGAAGAGACACGATATATACTTTGTTTTCAGACAGCTCCCTTTGCTTCTGAATTGCGAACAGTAACACAAGCAAACTGCCTCCACACAACTCTGATGTAGTAGCTTATCGGAAAGTCTGACGTAATATTAATGGTTAACGAAGGCCTGATTTCTTTACACACTCAA